CCACTCGGCTGAGACCATCCACGTCGGACTCAGAACTGACCCATGAACGACGACGAGATCTGATACGAAAACGAGACACGCGAAGCGTGCCAGAGCCTTTCCGTTCTAAACGACGAGTCGTAGCTCGGTGTGAAGCCCGACAATACTTTTTGGATTGAATTTGGATCTATCTGTTTTCGCGCCAAGTCAGCACGCGCATTTCTCAACGTGCGAAACTAATTGACTTGCTTCATCGGACCAACACAGGGGATTTCAGTTCTGCGTGTCCCCAAACTCAATTTTCAAAAATCCTTGGCACACCCCTTCTTGCTGTTTTTTCGGGCCTCTTTTCCGGACAGTTAACACTCCGAACGGAAGATAGCACAGGGCGTGAGGTTGCACATCACATCCTTATTTGCTACGGTGGGTAACAACTGTTCCTCTCTTCTTTATTATTATATCTATTGGCTGCTTCCCACTTCTCTGTCTCAGAAGGTCCATCCCTCTCTTAGTGGAATATCCACCCAGACCTATGACTTTTCTGGTCCCCTGATCTATCCAACCCACCGCACCAGGGTGTACAAACATCTTCAGGAGGGGTTTCCCCTTTGCTATCAGTTTCGCCTCTGGGTGGGTATCTGTGTTTCCCTGTGCATTTGCCTCGGGAGCCACACTTTTGGCACCAATATCTATAAGTACCGGAATGGTATCCGTCAATGAGGTCACCAATTTTTTTTCCTTAAAGCTTAGCTGTAATAGCAGTCTTGTATATGATGTGGTTGCTGTCTCCATCCATACTTCTACCTCGTACCCACCACCAGCTTCTGATCTGAGTACATTCCAAAATTTTCGTACAGTCGCTGCTGATGATGTTGCCCGATGTGCAGATCCAGTTGGAGCGCAAGCTGTTGCTGAGACTGTTGACAACCTTTCACTTTACGCCAGCAGGTACCAGTCGTTTGATCATAGAGCAACTGATTCCACTTTGGAGGGAGTGCGTTTTGAATGTCTGCCAAGTGTTCTTCGACGTGGCACAAATACTTGAGCTCGTTTCTAATGGACGCCTCTGACCTCCAATCTCCAAGCTCCTTATCCCACAGATCTTTTATGCAGATTATGCCCCTTTCCACCCAAGCCCTTCCAAAACAACCAGGAGAGTCATGGGCTAAGAAGGGAGAGTCATCCGGTCCGCACAGCAAGGGGTTTTCTAAAATGGGTTGCATGAGAACTTCTTCCAAAGATTCGGGTTGAACCAGAGAAGTAGGCAAGACCTTAGACCAGGTCCATAAAATATCCCTCCAAAATTTCGATTTAGGACGCTTTTGGCTATAGGATTTTATGAAGATGCAGCCCCTGACGTCTTCCAGATTGCCCAGATTCCATTCCTTTCCAAGGATGTACTCCGCAAGCCAAATCCATGCATGCTTAACGTCTGCCAAAATGGCTTTGATCGGCCATTTTGACAAAAGTGCGATGTTTTGCCGTTTGGGGTCCAGTATCCCAAACCCCCCTTCAGCTCTTGGAAAGGATAGTAATTCCCATGCAATTTTGGAAAGAAACCCTTCCTCCTCTGTTGCCTCTGGCTTCCACAGAAATTTAGCAGCCCTCTTCTTAATCTGTTTGTATGCCCGGTCCCCTAGCCTGTGAACTTGAAGGGGGTACCATAAGATGGAGAAGGCCGAGGAAGTAAGTACCAGGGCACGGCCCAGTATTGACAGGTGTCTCGTGTAATCCCACTTATCAATTCTTTGACCGACTCTCTCCAGCAACAGCTGGTCTTGTAATTCTGAGTTGTCTGCGAGTGAGACCTGCACCCCTAGATAGCGATCTGAAGCATCTGTGGGTATATGTCTCATCCCCCAATCCACTTGAAGTTGAAATTGCGCCGGCAAAAAAAAATTTGATTTGTTCAAATTTATTGAGGCCTTAGTGTAGCGGACCTCGGGTTGGCCTGTGAGACCAGCCCCTTGGCCTGTTCTCACAGGCCTGTTCGAAGAGAAAAACGAATGAATTGAAAGTAGTTTCGAATTTCAAAGAAATGTCGAAAGAAAAAAAAATAAAAAAATTCTAACGTATTTGGAGTTACGGAAAGGAAGAGTTTGATTAATTCTAAAATGTTTTCCAAATTACACAAATTCCGAAAAAGAATAAGGAATGTTTTCGAATTATGAAAAAGAAATGTCGAAAAAGAATTTAATTAATTCTGAAATTTTCGAAAAAAATCGAAAAAATAATTGATTAAACAGATTTTCGAATTTCGAAGATTAAATGTCGAGAGAGAATGCTTAATCCTATGTATTTCGAAAATTTCGAAAGAAGAAAATACGTTTGAGTATTTTCGAATGTAAAAAAAAAGAATATAAAATAGATTCTAGAAATGAATAAAATGAATTTTGATGTAAATCGAGGGCGGGGCGATCCTATCTACTATTGATTGGGTGGTAGCGTGGTAGGTAGGGCACGGGTAGATTGGTGATGATGGTGATGATGATGATGATGATGA